TCTTGAGATAATTAATAATTTAGCTCATCACCACATGTTCAATCTTTTTGTCCCCAAATAGGACTTATTTTGGATACGTGGCAATTTTCTTCTTTAGATTAGGTCATGAGCTGAAGCTATCCTTTCCACGTGTCATCGTCCAGCTATGGTCAGGAACTAATGAACTGTACTTTAATCACCATAATAATCGTGCATTAATTTTTTTTCCTCTAGAAACTAATTATTTAAAAGGAAAAGCTTTTATATATGCCATAATTTACAATAAATTTCCTCTTCCATTGTTATATACATGGGCCGTTGGGCCGAGGGCCGTTGGGCCGAGGGCCGAGGGCCGCGGGCCTTGGCTTATGGGCTATGGCCTTTCCTTGATTCCTCAGGAATCAGGAGCACGATCCTAATCAATATCGGGCGGAACCGATCCGAGGAAGGATCAATCAGTCCAAAAATACCAACTTTTTTTAACAAACTAGTCACAGATTACAGCGAAAAAATAAATAAATAATCATAGTAATTGCAGAACGACGGAGTTTTTTTTTATTAAAATTTATTTATTTTGTAATAACTAATGAGAAATGTTTATACGTACCTGAGACTGTTGGAATCGACCGATTTCGAAATATCGGTCAGTGGAATATGGAAGGCTTCTGACCACGAGAACTGCCTCAGACAAGTTGCTGAAGGCGTCCCCCAGCGGTAACTATCCACAGAGAAGTTCAAAAGATTCTTACTAGCCTTCTTATCAAACGGATGTTGGAACAGTTTCACCTGTTCATGGTGCATCCTTTCCAAAATCTCCCTCGGTATCCCATGATTCACGGCCTGAAAGAAACCCCACTGTGCTGAAGCTTCAGCGATTTCTCTTTTGCACTTCTCTCTATCTGATTTGCTGCGATTCAGGCCGCTCAGATCAATCACAGGGAGCTCGCATTCTTCAATGATGTCATTAACTTTTCCTCCTGTTGCTTTTCCAATGGAGTTCTGGAAGAGGGTCTTGTAGGTCTCTTCAAATGGTGGATCTGCATCCATCCTTAGTGGCTGGAGACACCGGAATAGAGAGAAAGAGAAGGAGGAGTTAAAAACACTCAAGGCTGAGAAGTTTTAAGCTTATATACAGACTAAAGAGAATTAGCTTGAAAGTCTAGAAGAGTGACAGAGAAAAGATTGGAAAATGGAAATACAGGTAAGTTGTGTTGTGTTCCTATTGGATGAAAATGTTTCCACATTTGCATTTCCAGGTTTCATGACTAGGGCTAGGTTAGTCGAACCCAGCAAGAAAAGGTTGGGTTGGGTTAATGCTGGAGTTCTAAATACTTATGTATATCTTATTTTTATAAATTATTATTATTATTTTCTTTTAGACATAATTATTGTAAAATTGAATTTACCTGAAACCTTGAATCCAAGGAATAAGAATAATTAGGCCAAAGGAAGTAGTAAAGTCGGGCCAATCCGAGCCAAACCAAAGTTTTAGAGTTGGGGGTTCAAAAGTTCAAGTTGGACTAGGATTGACCTCAAACTTGCACCACTATTCACAACGAGGTTGTTGGGAATTGCAATGAACGTCATCTGGTGTACGATCTTTTTACTTGCGTCTTCTATTCTTAGATAGTGTAGCGTGATGGGCCTTAAATCCAATCATCATTACTAGATCTTTTACTATAAATGGTCTTCAATGGTAATGACTAATGAGATATTCAGCTTAGCCCAAAGAGTCGGGTTGAAGTTTGGATTAGGAAGGAAAAGTATGAATTAGACTTAAATTTGGATTTGGTTAGAGACTTAAACATCCCAAAGGCCAAAACCGATTTACATAGATATATAAGTACTTAATTACATATGTCAGCAATTATAAGTTTGATAGTTTTTTTCTAAAATATAATGACTATATCCTTTTATATATAATAATGCTTAAATTGAATTAATCTAAACCCTTCAGTCTTAGAACAAGAACATTTGAGAAAAAAAAAACGTAAAAAAAGTCAGGCCAGCCCGAGTCCAACGCAATCTAGAAACTTCAGGCTGTATTTGGGTTACGGTTGGGGGTTCAATAGCTCCGGTTGGGTTTGGGCTGATCTCAACCCAACCCAACCAGGTGCAACTTGCACTCAGTATTTGGACTTCTAAAGGATCAGTTTGGAAAGAATAAATTGTAAAATTTTATATTTTATATGTATTTATATTGTACATATTTTATATTTGTCCGGTGTGAAAAGATGGGGATCGTTTTTTCTTTTAATGCAGAAAACATTACATGATGTTTAATGGCAAATATATACTGCTGCCTCCACCCTCCCCCTCTTTTATTATTTCTTTTCCTGCGTATTGTCTATTTTAGATTGATAATTATTAGGGCCTGGTCTCCTATAATTAATAAGTGAGGGTCTGTTTATAAGGCTAGCATTGTTAGATCGGTACTTTTCACTTTTCAGGTTTTGAATTGGAGACCCAGCTCGAGAAATCATTGTCATATGATCTACTATTTTCGTGTAGGTTCTAGAATCCAATACGTGTGTGTTCAATCTATCCCTGATAAATGTCCCAATGTGACCGTTTTACCCTAATCAGTACAGCTTTCTTTACACTCCAAAATAACTTTTTTACCAATCTCTGTTTACAAAATCACTTATTGAAAATCTAAAAACAAAAAAAAAAAAGTTGATTTCCTTCGACTAGAATTCAGTTTTCGGAAAATATTCATTTTTCACAGCCCAAATTTACGCTCAATCAAACATCAGGAAATGGGAATTTTTAGATTTTTTTTCCTTCATTTTATGTGCAACCAAATAATACCGGAATAAGTGGATTTCTAATCTCAAGGAGTAAATCACTATTTACTAACCTATAGAAATAGGAAGATTGAAAACATTGAACATTTCATTTTGTGAATAGAAGATTCCAAATTTACGGTGCCCGACACACTTCTAAGTCCATCTAAATGGAATCTTCCAAATCTTCCACTGGCAATATAAAAAAAAAAAAAAAGTAGAAGCAAAAATCTTGGCCTGGGCTTTATATTTGTTCATTTGTGAAGAGGCCTGAGCCCAAATTTCGGCCTGTTTTATAGTTGCAATTGAAATTGAGGCCCAAACTAGTGGGGTGGAGGCAGAGAATGTGCATCCCTTAATAGTGTGAAGCTGAAGTGGAACACGTGTACAAGTTAGAGGTTGTGTCCTATAGGTGTCTGGACAAGAAGCTCCACGTGGCCCGTCTAGGGAAAAATGTTTGGAGATTATTTTGTTTGTCTAATTTCAGGGGCCTTAAAGTCTGTGAAACTCGTGATTGTCATAACCAGCTTTATACCTTTTGTACGAGGAAAGAGGGTGTGGACGGGGGGAGCTGCTGGGAGGGAACAAGTGAACCTTTTTTTTTCAAAAAAAAAGGAAATAATACAAAAAAGATTATCCCCAAGGCCCTAACAAAAAGTAAAACAATAGAAAAATGCTTAAAAACAGAAAAAGGGATGACGGGACGATGACTCGATTTTTTAAATAATAAAAGAATTAATTCTTTCAATGATCCTTACTTCCTTACCATCCGATATTAAGTTATACAAATAAAATATATAAAGTAGAAGATTAAAGATTTCTTTTTTCTTTTTTTCTTTTTGCAAATATGCGAGTGAGTGTGTTAAACTTTTGAATGACACAACAGCGTTGAGTACCTTCGTTAACGTTTCAAAAACATTGGCATCCTCCACCCCCATTTCAGCTCCTTGGAAGCAAAATGCAACACCTTTACCGTCAGCTTATCTGAGCGCCGGCAGTGTGAGTTCGGTTTGTTTATAGCTCAAAGACAGCAGAGCAAGCTTCTCGTTTCAGGCCTCCAATCGATGTGGTTTTGTGTTACCTCTGCAATCCAGTATTTAAAGGGGAAAAATAAACTTAAGAAGAAGAAGAAGAAGAATTTGCTCAAGTAATCAAATTAAAAAGAAAAGGCACGATATCTGCTCTTCTAATTATTATGAGGCATAGCAAACACATCCCTTAACAGCCTAGAGCCAAATGATAAGATCAATAAACAAAACAAGGAAATGTCCATATCATACGTCTCTTTTGTTGGTTACTTTCTTGGTGGCGAAGTTGATGAAGATAGTAGGAGAGAAACAGAAGATAACAACAACTAAGAAGAATAAGACGAAGGAAAGGTGTTGGAGCTTATCATTGCCTTTACTTTTCGACAGGTCGCTACATGGAGAAAATGAAACAGCTCTTTCCATTATCCACTATAGTTTTGGAAACAATTATGATGAGAAAACTTCCATCAAGGGACTGGGTTTCAGAAGAGTCACATACACACACTAGAGAGAGAAAGGGAGCCGAGGGGGCTTATTTATTACTTAACAAAATCAAGACTCTGCTTCTCTAGTTAATACCCATATCATGTTAGAACTTAGAAGACAAAAAGAGATAAACGCTAATCTAAAAGAGAGTGAAAGATGTATACAAATAAAGAATGAAAAGTTGTGTAAACTTACAGGGGAGAAGAGAAGTTGTGAGGATGAGGAGGAGAAAGACAAGCAGACCAAGGAAAGCGGCAGCACATAAGTGAAGATTTGCACAAATAGATGGATGCATTAATTTATAGGGATAGGGAAAGGGAGGAGTCCCTTTATCAATCATTAGTGACTTATGAAAAGCAACCAGAAAACCAAAGGATGTACACGGGTCTATATTCTCTGGTGGAAGAGAGGAACACGCGTCTCCAGATGGTATCAGAGAAATACACCAGATTTTTCGATTGAGATTTGAGAGAAGAGTACTCGTAGTTGTAGATGACACTAGAGAGAGAGAGAATGGAAAGGGGTGAGACATGGATAAACGACAACCAAATACAAGTGATAAACCCAGATGAATGCAAACAATTTGGGGTCTTAAGCATGTAACAGGTCTCCAAGTCTACAGAGAGAGAGAAAGAGAGAGATCAGCAAAGGTGTTCAACAAACAAGGCACATGATTCTTCTGCACTATAACTGTACTACTGTTTAGATCATATACGACGTGGCAGCACTCAACAACATTTGGGGTCTCGCACCAGCTTACTCTGACCTCCACGTCAGCACTGCTTATTGACCTCCGATGAACAATAGTAATGCATGTGCTCTGCCCACCGGATAAGGACGTGTTCCATGGCACCACCTCTGTGCTCGCTACGCGTTTACCGGCATTCAATTACTGCCCTACTGCCCAAACCATGATCAAAGCTACTGTTAATGTAGTGTACTCTATCTTCTTTTAATTAATTTGTTTTCCTTTTATTTATTTCCCGGCCTCTCAGATTTCTTCAAATAATTCAGGTCGGTGGTTGAGACTTGAGACTTGAGACTTTATACTGTATCCACTTTTTTTTCTCATAACCTCACTCGATCTTATAATCAATGTCTTCAAAATTTTCTAAAACATGGGAGACATAGGCAATCCATCTTCAATAGGATCATTCCCTTCTGATCTACGCTACAATCAGCTGGCCATTTGGCCAGCTCCAATCATATGTTTAGATGAGAATGGAAATGAACTGGAATTAGGTAAAAAAAAGGAGCTAAATAATGAGAATAGTTGGTAAACTTACTAAATATTTCTCTATGTTAATATATGCATTAGATGGGGCACGTACAGTATTGCACATGACAGAGTTGTGGTAGAGTTACACATTGAAAAAAGAAAAAAACGATGGAGAGAGAGGGCGCAAGGTTTTAAAATCGAACCAGATAACGACCTGTTCATTTTCAGTTACCGGGTCCAATGGTTTGATTGTTCTAATTGAATGGACGACACATTTTAATAAACAAAAATTAAAATAAAATAAAATAAATTGGCCAAAAACCGTTGGACAGTTCGAATAGTTTGACCGCTTGGGTCAATAGTTTATTATCTAAATCAACGGTTTTTGGTCAAAATAACGGTTCTGGGGTAAAATGGAACCAGTCAGGTGATCGATTCTCAGTTTTTCCAGTCCAACCGTCCAGTCTGGTCAGGTTCTAAAAACCATGAGAGAGAGAAAGATGGGTGGCTTCAAATTCAGGCCTCATTCATTTTTGGGAAGTTACTTAGTAAATGCACTTACCAAGATGATTATTTTCACACAGGTAAGTGCATTTACTCATTATGTTCTTTTATTTCTATGGTAAATAAAGGCAATGACCATTTTAAGCATAAAAGGCAATTATTAAAAAGGGTAATTTTGTTCCATCTAAGTGTTGACAATTTTTCTTATAATTGAGAGAGTTACTTATCCACTTGGGATATGGGTATCACTTATCCCACCCACAGAAAATAAATTTTTCATAGACCCCTCATAAATCTAAAAAAATATATATGAATATCTTGGTCAATGGGAAACAAAATCTCATTGACCAACTTTCCTCCTCTCAAAATTCAAAAAATGAACAGGACCTCATTCTCTCCCATAGCTTATAAGTATTTTTAATGGGTAATTATGTAAGCAACCCGAATAAAAAATTAACAATAAGGATCGTTTACTAAGACCCATCCTCTAGTTTGCCTATTACTAAGACACCCCCTCTACTTTTCAACCACTATACTTGTTGGTTGTTGCTGGTTCTTTTAGATGGAATTGTAAAGTGATATTTTTTGCCCTATCATTTGGTTGACCAAAATAGTTAAAAAGAAAGAAAAAAAAGTAACTAAATGTCAATACAAAAAATAAAATAGACAATAATAGAAAATTAATAAATTAAAATAAAAAACAAAGGAACATAATAGAAAATAAAATAGATAATAAAAAAAATTTCTATAATTGTCTATTATGCTTGTATTTTTATTTTTATATAAAAAATTCCTAACAGGAAATATAAAACATTCCTAACAGAAGGGGTGCCTTAGTAATATGCAAATTATAGGGTAAGTCTTAGTATTCATATGAAACTATAATATGGGTTTTCTTAGTAAATGACCCAAATATGGCTTCGTGGCCTTCAAAAAAAAATGGCTTCCTGGACGAATCAAAGCTAAAAGAGTTGGAGAGTTGCTAGAACTAAAAACTAGTATTAGGAATAAGATATTGCAAATAATTTCATGTAGAACTAATAACTAGTATATGAATAAGATATTACAACACAATTTCATGTAGAATTAGGGGTGAGCAAAAAAACCGAAAAATCGAACCAACCGAAATTGAACCAAAAAATCAGTTAACTGAATTGGTCGGTTTGGTTTCGATTTGATGTTTTTAAAAAACCAAAGGTACTGGTTTAGTTTTAGTTAACCAATATAGAAAACCGACGGTTAACCAAACTGACTGGTATACATCTATTTCTATATATTTTATATATTTATGTATTATATATATTATAAATTTAATAAATATGCATTATATATATAAATATATATTTATAATATATGATATATTATTTATTATTTAAAATATTATATTATATATTTATATATATTTTATAATATATTGTGAAAATTAAAAAGCTGAAAAATCGACAAACCAAACCGATTGGCTTTGGTTCGGTTTCAGTTACCGGTTTTCCAAAAACCGGTAGTACCGGTTCGGTTACAAAAAAAAAAGTCCCTATGTAGAACTAATAATTAGTATAAGAATAAGATATTGCAACATACTTTCATGTGTGCCTCCACAATCTTGTTTCATTCCAAGAACATTAAACTCATACCAAAACTAATTGTTAAACCCATACTAGAATTAATTGTTAAATATCCAATTACAATTGAGATTTTCTTTTCTTTTCGTTTCATTTCTTTGTCTTAGTTTATTAATAACAAGAAAAGCTTTGTTATGAAGCGAGGTCCAAGAATTCAAAAGGGGTAGAATTATTGCGATGGTTGTCTCGGTGTCGACTCTTCCAGCTAATACTTAGGGGGCATCAATGGACCAGGTTTGGGTTGGATTCTGCCTGAATCAAAATTAATCTAATGATCCAAAGTATTTATTGTATTGGATTGGACCTATTCCATCTATAATGAATTTATACTGGATTGTGGTCAAATTGAAGCAATATCCAATCCATTAGGTTGTGTTTGTTTTCAATGTAAATTATCATCAATCTAAAAGTATAATGATAAAATTGATGTAGTATTTACATTGATTATCGGTGTAAAATTCAATCATGAGGTTTACATCATTTTTCAATGAAAAACTTACACTCCAACCTAACGCACGAAAATACAAACTGAGAATGAAGTTTTACACTGGTCCATATTACACTGAATACAAACGCTGACAAATGAAGCGGTGGTAGAATTTTCTGTCGATTTGTATTTACACTTCAAACAAATGCAACCTTAACAAAAAATAAAAGTACAAGTATCAATGGACCAAGCTTGGGTTGTACCCAATCTAAATTAAAATCAATTCTGAACAAATTGAATCGTTTAGACATTGAATTGGATCAGTCCATAATAGTACATCTATATTGGACTTGGTGCTGCCAAATATGAGGCTGAGGGCAACAAGGGGATTTTGCATGTATCCGAGGCTGACAGGTCCAATATGTAAACAAGAGAAGAGCATACGTCAGAAGCCCTGGGTGTTATCCCAAGGGAGGAGACTCCAACGGTTAAGTTAGCCGAGTTCTTATATAAGGGTCAGACCAGGCAAGAGACAAGAGCTCAGAGCTTAGTCCTTAACAGCCGAGGATGATTCACTTGGGATTTTGAATATGCTTACCTTGAGGCGAGTGCCCCCTTTTATAGCTAACCTTGCCTTAGGAATGGTTGGAAGCAATTGGTGATGTGTGGCTAGGATTTGATCTAGTTGATGCCACATGGCATGATATGAGGCCCACCAAGTATCCCTACATCATTTGCTCCCACTCTCAAGGCCGTAATGGACAAGGTCGGATGGTGTGCTATGCAGAGACCTCGGCTTAGGCTGAAGAGAGTATATAGTAGAGTTGCGTGGAGGCGTCAGCCTTGGTTGTAGAGGATTCTTCGTGGCGGTTGTGCAACGACTGTTTCCTTGTTCACATTCCCTGAAGGTAGGTTAGGCGAAATTTCAAAAATTTCCTCTCCCCTCATTTGGGAATCACATTCCCTGTTTTAGAAAATCTGCATTTTCAATTATCAATCTTGAACCATAAACCAAACCAAATCTGAAATCAGAAGCAGGAGAGGGATATACCTGATACGGAGAAGCAGTATCTCCCAATGGAGGTGTTCACGCCGAAGGTAGGAACCAAAAACTGCTCCCACTGAAAATGGCGCAGTGCAGGATGGAGCAGAATCAGCAGTGTTCTTACAAAAGAACCGAACCCTTCACAAGAATTCGCTGGAGGCAGTGAGCACA